GTTTCGCTCTTGTTACCCAGGCTCGAGTGCAATGGCACCATCTCGGCTCACCGCAACCTCCGCCTCCTGGGTTCAAGCAATTCTCCTGCCTCAACCTCCCTAGTAGCTGGGACCACAGGCGTGCGCCACCATGCCCAGCTAATTTTTTTGTATTTTTAGTAGAGATGGGGTTTCACCATATTGACCAGGTTGGTCTCGATCTCTTGACCTCGTGATCTACCTGCCTTGGCCTCCCAAAGTGCTGGGATTACAGGCGTGAGCCACTGCCCCTGGCTAATTTTTATGTTTTTTAGTAGAAACGGGGTTTCATCATGTTGGTCAGACTGGTATCAAATGCCTGACCTTTTGATCCACTCGCTTCAGCCCCCCGCAAAGTGCTGGGGATTACAGATGTGAGCCACTGTGCCTGGCCTTTTTTTCTTTTTTTTTGAGATAGACTCTTTTTTTTTTTTTTTTTTGAGACGGAGTTTCGCTCTTATTACCCAGGCTGGAGTGCAATGGCGCGATCTCGGCTCACCGCAACCTCCGCCTCCTGGGTTCAGGCAATTCTCCTGCCTCAGCCTCCTGAGTAGCTGGGATTATAGGCACGCGCCACCATGCCCAGCTAATTTTTTGCACTTTTAGTAGAGACGGGGTTTCACCATGTTGACCAGGATGGTCTCGATCTCTTGACCTTGTGATCCACCCGCCTCGGCCTCCCAAAGTGCTGGGATTACAGGCTTGAGCCACCGCGCCCGGCCCGAGATAGACTCTTATTCTGTTGCCCAGGCTGGAGTACACTGTTGCGATCTGGGCTCACTGCAACCTCTGCCTCCTGGGTTCAAGCGATTCTCCTGTCTCAGTCTCCTAAGCAGCTGGGACTATAGGTGTGTGCCACCACACCTGGCTAATTTTTTGTATTTTTAGTAAAGATGGGGTTTTGCCATGTTGGTCAGGCTGGTCTCGAACTCCTGGCCTCAAGTGATCAGCCCTCCTTGGCTTCCCAGAGTGCTGGGATTACAGACATGAGCCACTGTGTCTAGCCTTATCTCTTTCTTTAAGCAGAATTTAAAAAACCAAAACTGGTTTGTTTTCTGACCGTTGTGTGGGTTTGCATCGCAGTTCTTGAGGAAAGGATGGTCATTCTTCTCCACACTCGAAAATTTATTTTGGTCCCATGAAGCCCAATGCTCCAATGCAGCTGTTAACAAGCTGCCCCAAATGTTTGCAGAATGGGAGGGATACACACTAATGAGCTTATCACTCATTCATTTAGTCATTAATTCATGCATCAAATATTTATTGAGTGCCTACTCTGGGTCAGGCAGCCTCTGCCTAAGTCACGGAACAAAAGAAAGATCTCTGTTATTAGAGGGCTTGTTCTCTGGCATGCGTGCATGTGGGGTGTGGAGGACAGACAAAAATATATAAACAATTTATTTAGTATGTTACAAGGTGATAAATGCCACAGGGGTAGGGGAAGGCAGGCCAAGGGAGGATAGGAGTGGATGACAGGGGGCATATTGCAGTTTAAAATAGTATAGTCCCTGTTGAGGGTGTGAAATGTGCACTAAGACTTCAAAGAGCAGAGGATATCCTTATGCTGTATCCTGTGTGTACTTGCATGAAAATACCACTGAAGACAGAATTTTTTTTTTTTTTTTTTTTTTTTTTTGAGATAGAGTCTAGCCCTGTCATGTAGGCTGGAGTGCAGTGGCACAATCTTAGTTCACTGCAGCCTCTGCCTCAGCCTCCTAAGTAGCTGGACAGGTGTGCACCACCATACCCAGCTAATTTTTGTATTTTTAGTAGAGATGGGTTTTCACCATGTTAGCCAGGCTGGTCTTGAACTCCTGACATCAAGTGATCCACCTGCCTCAGCCTCCCAAAGTGCTAGGATTATAGGCATGAGCCACTGTGCCCAGCTAGAAATGTTTTTATCAGCTAATTTGAGATATAAACCAGGCGCGGTGGCGCGTGTGCCTGTAGTCCCAGCTACTCAGGAGGCTGAGGTGGGAGGATTGCTTGAGCCCGGGAGCTCTGGGCTGTAGCGTGCTATGCGGATCAGGTGTCCACACTTAAGTTCAGCATCAATATGGTGACCTTCCGGGAGTGGGGGACCACCAGGTTGCCTAAGGAGGGGTGAACTGGCTCAGGTCGGAAACAGAGCAGGTCAAAAACTCCTGTGCTTATCAGTAGTGGGATCTCGCCTGTGAATAGCCACTGCACTCCAGCCTGGGCAACATAGCGAGACCCTGTCTCTATAAAAAAAAAAATTGAGATATAATTCACATACCAGCCAGGTGTGGTGGCTCATGCCTGTTAATCCTAGCACTTTGAGAGACTTAGGCAGGAGGATTGCTTGACCCTAGGAGTTTCAGTCCAGTGTGGGCAACATAGTGAGAACTTATCTTTACAAACAAAAATTAAAAATTTAGCTTGGTGTGGTGGTGTGTATCTGTAGTCCCAGCTATTTATGAGGCTGAGGCTGAAAGATCACTTGAGCCCAGGAGGTGGAGGCTGCAGTGAGCTGTGATGATGACATTGCACTCCAGCCTGTGTGACAGTGAGACCCTGTTTCTAAAAAAAAAAAAAAAAAAAAAAAAAAAAAAAAAAAAAAAATCATATGCCATAACATTTACCTTTTAAAAGTGTACAATTGAGTGGTTTTTAGTATATTTACAGAGTTGTGTAACCATCACCATTATGTAATTCCAGAATATTTTCATTACCCTCCAAAGAAACCCATTAGCAGTCACTACCCATTCCTGCCTCTCCCATCCCCTGGCAACCAGTAATCTACTTTCTGTCTTTATAGATTTGCCTATTCTTGGCATTTCATATAAATGGAATCATAGAATATGTGGGTTTTTGGGTCTGGCTTCTTTCACTTAGCATAATGTTTTCAAGGTTCATTCATGTTGTAGCATGTATTAGTATTTCATTTTTTTTTTTTTTTTTTTTTTTTTTGAGATGGAGTCTCACTCTGCCACTCAGTCTGGAGTGCAGTGGCTCACTGCAGCCTCTGCCTCCCAGGTTTAAGGGATTCTCCTGCATCAGCCTCCCGAGTAGCTGGGATTACAGGCATGTGCCACCATGCTCAGCTAATTTTTGTAATTTTAGTAGACAAGGGGTTTCACCATTTGGCCGGGCTGGTCTCAAACTCCTGACCTCAGGTGATTCACCAGCCTTGGCCTCCCAAAGTGCTGGTATTACAGGCATGAGCCACTGCACCCAGCCAAGTATTTCATTTCTGTATAGATAATATCTCATTGCATGGATAGGCCACATTTGGTTATTCATTTGTCAGTTGGTGGTGGGTGCCTTTGAATTTGAAATATTGCCAAGTGTCATCCATGAACTATAGAGATTTGCCCTCCCCCATAATTAAGAAGTGGATGGAGGCTGGGTGTGGCACCTGTAGTCCCAGCTACTCAGGAGGCTGAGCTGGGAGGATACTTGGGCACAGGAGTTAGATACTTGGACATGGTGAGCTGTGATCACACCACTGCATGCCAGCCTATGCAACAGAGGGAGACCCTGTATCTAAATGAAAAAAAAAAAAAAAAAAAAAGACCTTGTGGGGGTAATTGTCAGGACTGATGGTGCCCTGTTGCAGTCAGCACCAGTTAGGCTCAGTTTTGGAGAAACTAAAAAGCCACTCCCTCCAGAGTCCCGCTTTCCCAGGTGCCTCCTTCCTGAGCGGAAGCTCTGGGTGGTCCATATGTGGTAATACAGATCTGTGGATTTTTTTCAAGTGTGTTTTCTATTGCACATTACTTTTTTTTTTTCAGCTTTAAAATATAACCTTGGTAAGTTGTTTACTGAAGAAAATTCTCAATGAGTTTTCTCTTTCTTTCTTTTGTCTTTTTAACATTTTGGGTGTGGTAGCAAGTAGAAGCAGATTCATCCTAACCAAATATTTGCAAATATCTGAACAAAGCAGTTCTGGCCAGGGAAGGAAGACTCCACGGAGGAAGTGGGAATTGGATCAGGCTTTTCAAGGAGGGGTTCAATTCTCAGAGGACTAGATGAGGAAGGAAAAGACATGTACCAAAAAGGGGCAGGGAATTAAAAGTTTATTTTCTGGGTGACTGGGAACCTCTGAGCCCTCGAGCACGTGCTTTAGATATGTTAGTTTGGCAGCCAGCAGTCTGTGCATAGAGGGTGATAATGATGTTGGACTCCTCTGGCTGCAGGAGGCGAGGCAAAGTTTCCAGACTTTTTTGGGGGTGGTGTCTGAATTAGTTTCTGGGGCTGCAGAAAGATGAACTCTTATCAGAAGTCTTCCTCAAGGTCTTCCTCACTCCTTCAGTACAGACTTCAGACAGAGAAGCTGTCTAGGCGACACCTGTGCAAGAACCGGACACGACCTAAGCTGCAAACTGCCCCCGATTGCCCCGGCCTTCCCCGTTGGATCCTGGAGGTGGGGGTAGGCATAGAGCGCCCGGAGCGGGCGATCAAGCTTCCTGGAAACTGTAAATTGGGACGGGGGAACCCGGAAGGACTGGGCCTTTCAAGACGAAATGGCCCTAACTCCTTCATCGGACCAGGACGCACGGCGCCTCCAGAGGGGGCGCGCATCGCCTGGAGCAGGTTGCGGTCCGGGTTCCCGCCGAACTCTAGCAACCGCGAGGAGAAATGTCTGCCGTGGAGGGAGGAGCGCGGCGGGGGCGGAGCGCAGCTGAGGGGGCGGAGCGAGGACGAAGGGGCGGAGTAGAGACGACGGGCGGGGGGCGGAGCGAGAATAATGGGGTGGAGCAAGACGGCGAGCATGGGCGGAGCAAGGACGGTGGGGCGGGGCGAAGACCGCGGGCGGGGGGCGGAGCTGGGATGATGGGGCGGAGCGAGGACAAAGGGGCGGAGCGCAGATGGAAGCCGGGGCGGGGAGGGGCGGGGCATGCTCGGGCTCGGGCCCCGCCTCTCGCCGCAGGCGCGCCCGCCCCGCCTTCTCACTCCCCACGGCGGCGGCGGCTGCGGCGGCTGAGGGCGGGGAGGGAGGGGAGAGCGGGTCACGACGCTGCCAGGGCGGGGATAACCCCTCACGTGGAGCAGATGAAAGGGCCGCGGCGCGACGGCCCGGGGAGCCGAGCGGAGCCTGCGACCCACAAAGCCGCCGCTGCCGCCGCGATGGGGCTGTGAGGCGTCCGCCCGCCTTCGGTCCTCAGCCGGCCAGCGACTATGCCCGGCCGCGCCCGCCCTCCGCGCCCTCCCGCCGCAGGACCATGAGGCCGCGCTCGGGCGGGCGCCCAGGGGCCCCGGGCCGCCGCCGCCGCCGCCGCCGCCTCCGCCGCCGTCCTCGCGGCCTCCGGTGCCGCCGCCTGCCGCCGCCGCCGCCGCTGCCGCTGCTGCTCGGGCTGCTGCTGGCGGCCGCGGGGCCCGGCGCGGCGCGGGCCAAGGAGACGGCGTTCGTGGAGGTGGTGCTGTTCGAGTCGAGCCCAAGCGGCGACTACACCACCTACACCACCGGCCTCACGGGCCGCTTCTCGCGGGCCGGGGCCACGCTCAGCGCCGAGGGCGAGATCGTGCAGGTAGCTGCCCGCCGCCCGGGCCCCGCGCCGCTGCAGCCACAAGATGGCTCCGGGGGCTGCGCCCGCCGACCCCGCCGCGGGCTGGCTGACTGGCGGGCGGGCGGGAGGGGCGACCGAGAGGCCGGCGGCATCTCTCCCCTGCGGGCGGGTCGGCGGGCGGGACGCGGCCTCCCGGGCGCCGCCGCGGGGGGCAAGCGCACGTGGGGGCTCGGGCTCCCTTGAGTCCCCGGGCGGGAGGAGGACCCTAGGCCCGGCACCCACGCTGGGGCGGCTTCCTTGGCCGTTTGGGTATTTCGGTCTGCCTCAGGTGGAAGTCCCGGGAACTACCTGTTGAATGCCAACTTTGGAAAGACAAGTGATGAGGGATAGGTGGCTCGTTTCAAGTTGCAGGCTTTGCTTTCCATCCGTGCATACTCTTTTTGGGTGCGGCCAGGTTTGTCTGAAGGGCTGCATAACATCGGGTTCTTCCCCGGAACCTGCCTCCCGCCTCACCTGGGCGCCGCTGACCCTCCTGCGGGTCTCTGGACAAGCAGCCGCAGGCCGGGGAGGAGGCGGAGCTGGCTGAGGAGTGGGGATCGGGGGTTCCACGCGTGGAGTGGCGATGGAAGGCAGTCCCCGCTGCGTGCCTCACATTATAGAGGGTGGGAGGGATACCTCCTGCCCGTCCCTCGGCCAAAGACTAATGCGAAGGGGCTGCAAATGGGGAGACGGGGTCTTTTCACTGACAGGGCCTCCACCTTGGACCAAGTGAAAGAGATCGCATTCCGAAGGAAGCTAGCTAGGGAGAGCTTTGAGCTGTGCCTACTCTTTGGAGGAGGGTCTCCCAACTGAAGTTTCTGCGGTGGTTAGCTGGGTGGATGTGTTACCGCTTCCTTGGCCATGATTTTATCAACCTGTTAGATGGCCAGCGCACTTAACGGCGGTTAATATGCACACCTCGGATGGGGGCGATTTGTAAAGGTTGGCTTGTCTTTGAACCTTTGGGGTGATCGGACGTCTGCAGGGCCTAAGCTTTGTGGGCCGTCTGTGCTTTACTCTTGAGTGAGTTACGAATGAAAAGAAGGGGACTGCAGGGAATGATTGCATAGCAGCCCGCAGTGTAGACAGCCTCTTCCGTGCTGTCCTGTTCCCTCCTTGGGTGCAGACTCCAAGCCCTGCCTGCGTAGGACAGGGAGAGTTGTGCAGCTTGACTCCTCAGAGGTGTGCCCTTACAAAACCGCAGGAGGCACCCAGGCCCATGCGAGGTATCAGCAGCATTGCCTTAGCGGGCTCTTATCCCCATCTGAAAACTTCTGTGGGGTAAATAGAAGAGGAAATTCCTTCGCAGAACCCTTTGACTATCTATGTTATAATGCTTTTAGACTTAAAAAAGTTATAATTATGATCTTTATAAGTTTTAGAGATGATACTTTGCTGAAGAGTTCTGAACATTTCAGTCACCACCTTCAGGAATAGTTTGAATCTTAAGTCTTGCTCCTTGCAATTCCTTGTCTTTCTTTGAGGCTTTCATTGTGCCTTGATGGTTTTAGAAATGTTTGATTTATAGCCTTCTAAAAAACAAAAACAAAACAAAACAAAACAAAAAAGCAAAGATGTTTTAGCGCGGCACTTGACTTTTTGAAGGAGGCTTTTGAAGTTTGCGATTTTTATCTGCAGTGTTTTAACGTGTCACTCTTTCTCAACAGTAGTTTGTCTGGTGAGTGAGCTATCCATTATGAGTAGTGTTATGCTTTGGAGATAATCTCGGGTTCACCATTTAATACAAAATTAGCAGTTTAAACACCATTTGTAACTGTTTTATCCTTGTGAGTGGAGAGATAATATGTGAATTTGGCAGAAAGAACCTATTCTCTTTTGAAACTTTTTGAAGTGCTTATCTAACTCTTTTGTGGTCCATTAGCCTTAACCCAAAAAAAAAAAAAAAAAAAAAATTAAGTCAACAGTTGCTAAGTAAAGTGACTTAAATGGCATTTAATAAGTTTACCTGTTAAGCAATCACTAATAGGTGTCCTTAATTCCCTTATAACTGCAGTAATGTTGGTGAGTTTATCTGAGCTGTCTGAATAGTCATTTCATGGTGCACCTCGTATCTTTAGTAACTTTATTGTGGTGGCTGACTTGTTGAACCTCTCTGTTTCTGCGGACAGAGTGCAGTGTGGCTTTCAGGGATGTGTGTATACAAAGGCTAGTGTGCTTTTATGAGTTCTGCAAATACTGTTTGATTGAAGGAACTGGTGTGGACCTTGTCTGGCAGCCCTTAAAAATTTTTTTTTTTTGTAAGGAAGGGTGATGTTTTAGGGCTGCTGAGAGGGAATATAATGTTTTCTTTTGGTGAGAAATGAGAAAGCAGAAGAAATAAATTAGTGTCCAGCTTTGGATTAATCATGTTTTCTGAGTAACATAAACTTTTCAAGACCTCCTTTTATTTACTGTCTTTAAAAAACCTCCTTTTGTTTACTGTCTTGAAAAACCTTTATAAGCTTTAGACATGATGCTCTGCTGAAGATTCCCAAACATTTTATTCATAGTCTCCAAGAATCGTTTGAATCTTGACTCTTGCTCATTGTGACTTGTTGTCTTTCTTTTAGGCTTTCACTGTGCCCTGGTCTCACAATCTCATTGAACCTTCTTTTATTTGCTGTCTTAAAAAAATAGTGGCCAGGTGTGGTGGCAAATGCCTATAGTCTCAGCATTTTGGGAGGCTGAGGCGGTAGGATTGCTTGAGCCTAGGAGTTGGAGACCAGCCTAGGCAACACAATTAGACCTGGTTTCTACCAAAAAAAAAAAAAAAAAAAAAAAAAAAAAGCCAGGCATGATGATGTGCACCCAGTTGCTTAGGAGGCTGAGGTGGGAGGATTGCTTGAGCCTGGGAAGTTGAGGCTGCAGTGAGCTGTGATTATGCCACTGTACTCCAGCCTGGACAACAGAGTGAGACGCTCTCTCAGAAAAAAAAAAAAAAGAAGAAAACCAAAACAGTGTGATTTTCTGCTTAGTGTTTTATTGTCTCGGAGCAGAGTTCATTTTCCTATAAGTGAAGCTAAATAGTAGCAATATAGCATTGTTTCTGTTATTTCCATTGGGGTTCTGTAGCAGTATTGTTCATGGTTTAGGGGGAGAAAAAACCTGTTTAGGAGTCCCTCTCCTTTAAGAATTCTAAGATGAGAAATTGGTTTGTATTACCGATTTTTCCCCTTCTTTATTATATGCCAGTGAAAAGTGTGTGTGTGTGTGTGTGTGTGTGTGTGTGTGTATAGTAGATACCTTATCATACAGATAATTCTAACTAGAGTACCTGTTCTGGCATTTCCATGGGTTAGGGTAGGGGAAGCCTAGTTAAGAATTGTGTCCGTTTGTCAGTGTCAGAGAGAGAGAGAGAGAGAGAGAGAGAGAGAGAGAGCGCGCGCGCGCGCGCAAGCACACACACCCACCAGAGAGCACGCTTGCAAGAGGGAGGGAGGTAGTAATTCAAACCTTAGGATTAGTCATCAGGAATCTTGATTCTTTTCTTGTGCATTTTAGGTTTAAATAACTATCCCAAGGTCACCAGTGTAATCTGAATGAAGAGATTTTTTTTTTTTTCTTTTAATGTCTCCATCTGTGAAAGTTGTGGTGAAAACAATTTATGGGTATGAAATGCTATTAGTTACTTTTATTACCTTATTTATTTATGTAGTGTTAAAGCCCATTTGCTTGTAAGAGTGTCAGGCATACAGTTTGAATGCTGGAGAAATTAATTACACTTCTCCTGTAGTTCTGAAGTGTGGGACTTTAAAGGGTTCTTAGACATTGATATATATTTCATCTTTGAACCAATTTGTTGCTGTTAATGAGATCATTATCTGAAACTTTCAGACTTGGCTGTGCAACTCACATGGTTGGTGATGTTAAATAAAGGCCCGATTAAACACTGGCTAGTCATATGTGAATTGGTTAAACAAACAGAAAATTTGCATTGCTAGAGATGAAAGATTGTTTTAAAGTGGAAATGAATTTTTTTTTTCTTGAAGTCAAATATTTAGAAGGCTTGAGAAATTCGTTTGTAGAAGGAATCTGAATGATAGTTTCTGTGTAACTTTAAATTCAGCCTTCCTGGATTATAGGTTAAATGTTGAATGGACTTGAAAACAGAGGGAAGCTGAGGACATTTAAGAACTAAGTCAGTTCCTTTAGCTATTAGGGGTGGGAAGAGAGCTGGGTGATGGGTTAAAAAGGCTGATCGAGGTCCTTAAATATCCAATGTTAAGTAAAGGTATCACAGAGAGTAATTTTAGGAAACTATTTCCTCTGCTTTGTTTTCCTGTCAGTGTGCTTCTGCAGTTTAGCATTTGATCAAACACTTTCTTTTCATCTCCATTTTAAGTTAACAGGCCTGCCTCTAAAAATTGACTTGGTCTAATAGAACAATTGTGTGCTGACAGCTGACCTGGATTTACACAGAAAGGGATTGCCCACTGTCTTCTCAGATGTGCCTTCATAGGTTTAAACCAAGCATTTGATACAGGGGGAAAAATTGGGGCTATATTTTGTGACATTATAAATTCTTAGAGCCTCTTTTTTTTTTTTTTTTTTTTTGAGACAGAGTTTCGCTCTTGTTACCCAGGCTGGAGTGCAATGGCACGATCTCGGCTCACCGCAACCTCCGCTTCCTGGGTTCAAGCAATTCTCCTGCCTCAGCCTCCTGAGTAGCTGGGATTACAGGCACGTGCCACCATGCCCAGCTAATTTTTTTGTATCTTTAGTAGAGACGGGGTTTCACCATGTTGACCAGGATGGTCTCGATCGCTTGACCTCGTGATCCACCCGCCTCAGCCTCCCAACGTGCTGGGATTACAGGCTTGAGCCACTGCGCCCGGCTTCTTAGAACCTCTTAATTTTCCATTTTGTTCCCTGAGATCTCATGGGAGTTATTAGTACAATTCTGAATAGGGATGAAGATGGGAGTGGGAGTTCGGTGTAGAGCTGTAGACTAAAGGGAAGGCAGTGATGGTTTCCTCTTATGT